ACCAAAAAAAAAAAAAAAAAAAAGAGAAAAAACGAAACAATCAGAAGCACCAGAAGAGGTCTTACTTGTATATGTCATAATACTGAGTAGTTTACTTTCCTTTGCCAATATTTTAAAGCTTCCAAATAAGTGAGAGTTTTTTTATGCAAGAAAAAGACAAAGTAAAGTTCTTGAATGTTAAGTCAACAAAAAAAAAAAGCCTCTTTGCCAAAACGTTTTTTTTTTAGTGACTGACAATTAGATCATCAATATAAGTAAGTTAAGGTATTTTATTCCACACAAAAAAAGTAATACTGCTTAATCAACCAAACAAGTAAAATGAAGGCAATGATTGATCGGTTTTGTAAGTTATACCGAAACAGACGTTCTACAGTCTGTTAATACGTCACAAATCGAAAAGTAAAAAAAAAAAAATGTAAGAAAACTGTTAAAAGCCAGAAAAACTTTTGAAAAGCAGCACAGTTTATAAATTTATAGTACAAAGACTTTTAAAATTTTGGAAAACTAACGTAAAAATACAAAAAAAAATAACTAAAATTTGGTCCATTCGAGAATTAACCATAAAGATTTCAACAATAACGGTCACTTTCACCAAAGTTTTTTGAAATGCAAAATGGTTTCCGGTTACTGTTTTTTTTTTCAGACAAAAAAGAATCTGGAACATCTAAGTTCTGTCAACAATGACGACGACAGCGATGATAATGATGACAACGTCGTTGACGACAGCGACTGCATTCACTGTTGTTCCTTATTTACGAAAAAGACAACTCATCAAAAATCACTTTTTGGATATTTTAAGTGTGAAGTAACAACCTCTCCGCCTCTACACAAAAAAAAAAAAGACCAAAAAAGTCTTCTTTTTCGTTAGCTTTCACTTTTTTCTTCTCTTTACTTTTCTCTTTTTGTGCTGATATACGCAAATAGGTGAAGTATTTGAAATGGTAAATGTTTCTTTCTTGTGAACACCTATCAGACGTTCGAACTACAAAGCAGTGATTCGGTAAACTAACAATTATAGTAAAGTTGTTTTTTAATCTTTAGAATAGTAAAAAAAGAAAAAAAAAGCTGCTAAGTCTGAGCAACTCCTCTGTTTGTAAATTTTAATGTCGATTTGAAAATAAGTAACCAACTGAATAACTAGCGTTTTTTTTTCAGATTAATCATTCAGTTAATTCTGACCAATGTAAGTATGACTGTCAAGGAGGACACATACATATCAGCTCCAAGTAGGTAATTGTGGAAGTGCACTAAATGTTGTTGCAGAATAACTGTTGCATCCAAAAAATCTGATGACAATTCCGTATCGACTAACAAGCCCATCAGTTTAGCGTACGCAAGAAATTGAAATGAAAGATTCAGAAGAAGATGAAGTAATTAACGATTGAAAACTAAAGTTTTGTTTGTAACCAGAAAAAAAAGTTACGTTAGCAGTAAAAGCTCAATTTATACTTAAAAGTGCTTTTTCGATGAACAAGTGGCGAAGGAAACAAAAGAAAGAAAAAGAGAGAGTAAAAGTTGAAAGTTGAAGAGCACCCAATAAGACTGTTAAAACTCCGAATAACCGCCAATGAAGTGGTCATCGTCGCCCCAAAATGCTCTCGTCTTCTTCAATCAGCATTTCTTTAGATCGAAACTTCCATAAGAATACAGCGATACTGTGTGACAGTGTGTAAGTATGCGTTGATGTGTGTCTATGACTGTATTTTTATTTGCATATCGTTAGAAGAAGAGCAGCAATAAAAATTAAAATAGATACCTAAAAAATAAGCGTATCTAATCAGGTTTTTCTCTCTTTATTTTTTTGTATTCAAATTCAAATATACAACTTTACATTCAAAAAAAAAAAAATTTTTTTTCCTTTATTTTATCCCCTCGTGTCAAGAAGAAACATGTAAACATTAAATCATGCAACAAAAGCAACAACTTTAATAAACGAACGATATATATGTACAGATGTATGCCATAAATTTTACCATTGTAACAGTATGTCCACCAAGTAAAATACTTCTGAGTAATAATACCTCATTTATTTTTCCAATTACAGTAACCTAAGTAATACATTATTGAATCAATACTATCAAATTTTGCTGTAACATAGTGTTTATGCTGCGAGATCCCGAGAAACCTCTGAAGAAGAAAGCGCATGAACATAGGCATGAAAGTATACTTAAGCAGAGACACAAACACGAGTCGCTTCTTTGAATGGGTAATCAGTAGTCTTTGAATTATCAGCGTTGTTGAGAACAATGGTACAGCGCATTACCTTAATGGCGATAGATTACAGCCATTAATTTCAAAAAAAGTTTGCAAGGAGGAGCTCTAGTTTCCTATGACAAAAAGTT